CACAAGGGCAATAAAGACCATGCTCAGCGGAGCATATTATGAGACAGATAATAACCCTCACCCAGCCAAGATCTAAATACTGAAGTCAACACACACCAGGCAAGTTGTCTGGAAAGTTTTGTTTTGCCTTTAAAAAAAAAAATACACCACAACAACTGCCTACAAAAACCAGAAGACAGTCTACATGCCCCACAAAAGACTACCCAGACCTGCCATGAAATTCATACCCCCACAGCACCTCATCTGGCTTTCATTCCGAAGACCACGCTTTTTACTAGTAACACGCAAAATAAGGGCCAGATATTGCTCCCCTGTGTAGCAGCAGAAATTTCGTCAGGAATTCAGAAGGAAGCAATCCCCGCCTTTCTCCAAGGGATGCTCACAGGGACAATTGCTGGATGACTGTAGCTTGACTTCTGAGGGAGCCAGGGAGGAGGAAAGCCACACAGAGCCTGCAGTGACGTTTAAATGGAGAGATTTTGAGACGCACCAGGTGGTACAAAAATCACAGAGGGAGTCACCCTTGGAAGATCTATTGAGCTGCATGAGAACATAACATAATCAAATCACTCCTTCAGCAGAGAAGGGAACCAACTAAATTGGGTGCAGACAGACGGTGTTTCAGTACCACTCCCAAGCCCCTCCTGGTAGCTTCCATCTTCCCAGCTCCTTCTAAAACGTAACATGTTGAGTCTATGCATTTTTTTTCCCCTGCCAAAAATAATCAACCTGAAAAAAATCCTTCTGAAAGCTCAAATCTGCAGTCTTAGTCACCCTTCTGATTACCCTTTTGTGCAGCCAGACTGTTCACCAGTGTTATTCTGATTAAAAAAAGTTGTCTACGACTAAAACTGGAAAGTACACACAAATTACTTCACTTCCCCACCCCTACAAATCCCACCATCCAAAAATCTTATCACAGGAAAAAAAAAATATAATTAGACTGTACCCTTCTGATACAAGCTGAACTGCTGCTCTCCATGATCACAGCCACTCTTCAAAGCCTCCCAGATAAAAAGGATCTTATCATTCAAATTATTACTTCTTAGGGATGCTCTTATCAAAGTTCCAAGGAAAAATTCTAAAAACAGCAGCGATATGAAACCAGGCCTGAGCCATATTTTAAATGGCACTGGATTTTCTGCCAATTGGCCAATTCACAACTCAAAAAAGCAAGTGTAGATGAAGACAAAGCTGTTGGCTCTCATAACCTTTACAATATCACAGGAAAAATCTCAACTGTCTCACATATTTATACTAAATGGCAGGTCTAAAATTGAGATTTGTAATTTCACAGCATCAAAATCATCACAGATGGCTACAGTCTATTGCTTCTTTAATCTGTCTTTTTTCCCTTCCTGCTTATTCCCTCCCCACCCTCCGAGTTAAAAAGATACGCATTTTATCACAAGGAAATCATAGCTAAACCCAGACCACATTATATTAATATGTAACACAACGATTTACATAACAATGATGCATACAAGCAAAGTTTAAAGTTACTTCATGTCCCAGCTTTGCCCTAAAGCACTAATTACTTTAGCCTCGAGATGTGCCACTAGTTGGGATAGTCATGTTCTATCAACAATATTCCACATTTATGCTCCCCTAAATGGATAGCCATTTTCACAGAACTTTGGAAGAGAGAAGGAAAAAAAAAAAAAACCCACACCAAAAACACAACCACACAGCAAGACTGGGGGGTTTTAGCATCACATTCACAGCTACAAATTCAACCGTAAGCAAAGAACCAGTGCTCACCTAATATTTCTACTGATCAGGACCAGTTTTGTGCAACCACTCCTGTGAACATTCCCAAAGAAATACGGATTAAATATTTAGCTCCTTTCCCTTCCTGCCCTGGGTTTTTGCATATATATACACACACGGATATTGATGATAATTGTCTTACTGAATAAAGTCAGCTAGGAAAAAAAAACACACCACAGCAATCAGAGGAAGGACAGTTTTCTGTCAGATTATTCAAATACCTCTATACCACCAACACCTTTTTTTTAAACCCTTGTTCAAGGTCAGAGAGTCATTAACTCCCACTACAGGAACCACTTTGGATGTGAAGTCACTTCCCACACACACATCAGAAATTAAGCGAAAGCAGCTCAAGGAAAATGTGTTATTTAAAAAAATCAGGAGGTCGAGCGAACTTGAAGCAGCTTTTAGGACAAGCCAAGCTCCCGCCGGGCCATCCCAGCACTGCGCGGCAGGAGAGGACAGGGAGCTCCGATCCTCCCATGGATCTCCCAACAAGTGCAAAGCCCCGATCCACTGGCCTAAACTTCCTGCCCACTGCGCTTTTGTCAAGCATTTAAGATCTTAATCAATCCTAACTCTGACCCTAGGATCACAGGGGAAGATGGATGAGGAAACCGACAACCTCTGACCTCCCCTTGTATTTGTCCTGCCACAGTCAACCTATTGAAAAACAATTGAGGTGGAACCTGCTCACCAGCCCCAGCCCGGCACCCTTTCACAGCCTAACACAACGTCTCTCCCCCACCCCCAACCCTCTGTCCCAAAACGACAGGAATCCTCCTCACTTCATCCTCCTCCAAAAAAAAACTGCTGGAGCAGAACATTTGCTGAACTATGGAGTTAAGTGGGGTAGGAAGAGGAGAATCCACATTCAGCATCACAGGCCAAACTGCTTTACCAGCCCTGCAAGCCGTATAGTTCCGCTAAACTTCATGAATTCACGAAGAGGAGCTTCCCCGTAAACTGTTCTGGCTGGAGAACGGCAAACGCGAGGAAAGGAAACCACAAATAACCGCTGATGAAATGGGTTTAGCGCTTTCAAATTACATGCTGGCTCAAACCCTCTCAAAACGACTAGTGCAGGCCAACTTTGCTCTGGAGAGCCCAACAGGCAGACGTTTGTAAATACAGCATTGTCCCATCTTCCTCTCCCTTGGGAAACAGCGAATTGCGTTTCCTGAGTCCAACCTTCCCAGGTACAGCTGAGAGCCGGTAGGTAAGCGGAGATTCATCCTCAAGGTCTAGTCCAACACCACAGAAATAAATAAAAAAAAGCATCCCACCGTCACCACTGCCCACTAACAAAACCCCAAGAGGTTTCCCTTGACCACCACAGGATTTGTTAGGCAATTAGCTTATCACTTTTGGGGCACTGACACCAAAAAAACAGTAAATCTGTGCCAACCAGAGTGACCCAGTACTGACCCAACAGGCCTTTAGGAAAAGGCGGAATAATCTCCATGCAATAAATCAAGATGCTTTTTCCCCCCCACTGACCTCCACCTCTCACAACCCAGGCTGTAAAGGTGTCAAGATGCTTTGCCCACAAGTTATTGAGCTCTTGGGAAGTAAGAGCATCTCCCCAGCAGCACCCAGTCAGTACCACAGCCACAGCTTCACGTGTTTAACGATACACAGGTTTTTCAAGCTTCCATCTCATAGGGTTCCAAAAAACCGGAGTAATTTACCCCAGACAGGATACCCTGCCATCGTGCTGCTCGTTTTTCAGGTCTCTCTACTGCCCATGGTAACTTTGTGGCCCATATGGCACACAAGTTTTTTCCATATAGCAAAAAACAACTAGAAACAAAGGCCAAAGTTTATACTTAGCACTTCTTTCCTGCCAAAACTTAATTTCAATGTATAATAATGAACTTCATATAGACTGTAAATTATCATTTAAAAGAAATCAAGTAGGACATTCAAAAGACGCTGTTCTCTTAGGCGTCTACACGAGAGCAGGCAGTTACTTGCTCTGCTGTCTTGTTCTCAGCCTCAGGACGAAAAAAATGACCCACTGAAAAACAGACCACGATGGGACCAGCAGTCACCTGGCTCCAAGGAACCTTTCCCAAAAACACAAGTCCAAATCCACCAAGTCCAAATCCACTAAGGAGTTGAGCACCTTCAATTCTGCACCCACCAAAATTAAGCCCACTGACCTGTGCAAGAATCCATGCAAGTTTGATCTTAATTTAGGCTTCTATGAGCAAACATTTCATAGAATCATAGAATGGTTAGGGTTGGAAGGGACCTTAAAGATCATCTAGTTCCAACTCCCCTGCCATGGGCAGGGACACCTTGCACTAGACCAGGTTGCTTAAAGCCTCATCCAGCCTGGCCTTGAAGACATCCAGGGATGGGGCATCCACAACATCTCTGGGCAACCTGTTCCAGTGCCTCACCACCCTCTCATTTAGAAGCAGAGGCTAAAAATATTTTATTTATGAACTCCCTTCTCTCCTTCCCTAACCTTTTACAACTTCTTTTTCCAGAAGGGGGAGGGGAAGAGAACACAGGGTTTGAGGTTTTCTTCTTTGTAGGATAATCTGTCTTTTATACAAACTTTAATCCCTAATTCTGCAGCACACAGGATGGTGTGTGTGGGAGGGTGGGGTGGAGACTCGGAGCATTTCTAAGAGTATCCTAGCACCTCCATTATCAGGCTGACAATAGAGACCCTCTGAGAAATGAAAATATTTAACAAAGGCAGCAGTGTCAAATATCAAAGGGTTATTTAGTGCTAAAAATTTGCAACAAGTAAAACACCAAAGACTTCCCCTTCCCAAAGTGGGAAAGTAATCCAGCTAAAACTCCTGTACCCCCCTCCCCGACTGCATTATCAAAAGGAGACTGCCAGAATTTCCCGTGCTTAAAGTTCACTTTGGGTAAGACTTTAAAGATTTGTCTCTTTAAACAGCAGTAGCTTGACCGCCCTGTTTCGTAGTCATTCACATTTCGGTGACTATCGTGAGCCAACTCAAAATTTAGGCGCCTGCTAGAAAATGTGCTTCACCTTCTGCCCACTATGGCGGCATCATTTGTTCTGCATTGCATAATTTTTAGCCTTGCCACCTGGAGCTACTAGGCTTCTTCATTAAACCCCTCTGTCCCACCGCATCCCACAGGGGCTCCTAATTACTGGCTTTACTCCATCTACTCCCGTCCCCGATTCAATTATGCATTCAACTAAGCAATAATGAAGAGTACAATATGGCTCATCCTACCTTGGCATTCACCATTGCGTTCCTCGTAGCCAGCATTGCACAGACAGTTGCCAATGGGCACCAGCCACTCGCCATCTGCCCCGCAGTACATTTTTGGCACATCCTTTTCTTCCGAGTTGTTGACGCAGGAGCCGCGAACCTCCACCAGAGAGGATGTATCAGCCCCAGTAATGGTGTCTGGAAACTGTGCCAGGTTTCGAACGGTCAGCGGGCACTTCTTGTAGAAGACACGAACAGACACCAAAGCAATGCAGGCACCGACGTCCTGAAAAGCCAAGTAAAACCCCTTCTTGCTGAGCGGTCCCACATCCCGTATCTCCGTATTCAGCTTCATGATCCTGTCACCAATGTCCACCTGGGTGAAGCTCTCATCAGCAGCAATGGTGTCAATCTTGGCAAACTGGCTCTCTCGAATAAAACGCTCCTTATCATTGTTTGATTCGTAGTAATAGAGGTTGAAGGTCTCTTTGCAAGTTCCCATGACACCTGGCAGGCTGTTGCAGTCCCTCAGCGTGAACTTGATCTCAATATACACCCTTTGAGCCCCCTCACGGGGAATCCAATCAGTTCTTAACCAATTATTCTGACTGGGCTCCATCACATTGCAGACTTGGTAGGTGCGGATCGGAGTGTTCTTCTCATCCATAATGCTCACTTCCTCCCACTGCAAAGAGGGAATGGGGAAGAAAAATACATCAGCATTCAAAGGAACAGCGGAGCTGCACAGCAAACGTAATCTGCACTTCCACAACTAACGTGGAAATTGCATTTTTTTCCATTATGGATAAAAAACAAACCACCAAAACCCAAACCAAACTAACCCCAGCAGCCCAAGCCACAGCCAGGACCTCAACTACTTCAACATTAAAAGACGACCCTGTCCAGGAGAAACAAGCTCCGAGCTGAGGAGCAAGCACGTGTTTTAGAGACTCTGGGAGCCAACCCAGGAATGCTCTACCTCGTTACCACCTCTATTTGCACTACAGTTCAGCCCACAGGACCCTGCCTAGATCCAGGCTACACGCAGCACTTCGGACCCCCAGCACAGCTTTCCCCACCTCGCACATGCGAATATCCAATAGTGAAATCGCGTGGCTTAGTTTCACAAAAACCACCGGGCAGAGACAGTAACATCCACGGTTCTGGCTTCACCTCCACATAGTTTAAAACTCTTAAGACACCCTTTATTATTTTGCTGAGCTGCCAATGCTTTCCTGGGCCAGCAATATCCCAGACGCACCCAGCGATCCGTCTTTCCTTTGGAGCTGGGCAGAAATCGCTACCTACAGAGAACTGGGTCCTTGACTCGGGTGGCACTTAGAGCTGGAAGGGCAAGTAAGGAGACTACGTCGTCACTCTACCAGCAACACTGCCATAACATCGCCATCCAAACAAAGCTTCTATTAGTAAGAAGGTGGGAAAAGAAGGAATATTACACATCTCTTCCTAGAGGAAAGGTCAGGAATTAGCTACACTCATATTCTCAAACACCCAAAAAGGTTAACAGAGAGGGTAAATGCTGAAGGATCAGGGTAGCATCACGCTTCAAACCTCTTACACACCCCACATCAAGTTCAGGCACCTTCAGAAGTGCCAGACTAGGAGGCCACATCATTATGAAACTACAGTACAGGCCATGCAAGGACGGTATGGAAAGAAGAGATCTGGCCTCAATTCATTCAGCATGACGGACTTAGAGAAGGAAAGCACGTATAGCTGACAGTTCTGAAAGAAAGTGGTTCAGTATTATCACAGACAGAAGTAAGTTTATCACAATGTGCTCCAGATAGGGAGAGAGGGCGGAGTACGGAAAGAGCGCTTTCCAGTAGAAAACACGGAGCACTTCAGGACCAGAGAAATCCTTCTTTAAAGAAATAACGTATTAGACAATGAAATACTGTTTGGGTTTACAGGTGATACAATGAAGCATATGAAATCATCCTTGGAAAACAGTAGTAACTTTAAAGATTTCCAATAAGTTCTTTTCAGAACTACTGAAGCCATGGCTTTGACAAACAGAAGCCTTCTTAGCGTTAAAGGGCTTCTTGTATAATATCCTGCATTCTTCTCCCAAGGATTGCTCTTATGCAAGTGATTTTTACTTAAAAAGATTCTAGCTTAGCTGAATCCGTTTATAGAATGACAGTAGTTAGCACCATGAGTCACTAGGAGCAGAAAGAATAATATTTTATTTGCTGCCTAGAGATAACTGCAAGTTAAAATGAAGGGGGGGGGGGGGTAAGCATGTCACTCCTTTTCACAGAAAAGGAAAAAATAAATCTTAACGAGTCATCTGTCAACGTAAAGTGTAACACGGCGTTAGCAAGAAGACAGAGTTGTTTAATTTACAGCTGCCACAGAGCTAGTTTACTGTTACAATATTGTCTTTATGATCCATCACTTTCCATTCTGCTTCTCTTCCCACTGCCTGTGCTACCTGTATTGTGTGTGGCACCAGAAAGAGGAAAAGCAGAGGGAAATAATAGTTGTTGATGGGATTTCCTTTAGTACACGTATACAATGGAGGATGCTGCTACAGGATTCAATAAAGAGCCCGCTGAGGTCAGTGGGCAGAACTAAATGCAGCAAGTTTCAGATCAGGTTCTCACACGCTCCGTCTCCTGACAAGCGCAGAAATACACAGAGCTGGGTTTCTCAGTTCACAGACACATACACACAACGAACTTGAGCGTGTCTTACTGCCAGAGCTGAAAACAACTGCAGCCCCAAATTCCCAGCCACTGTGAACGATTTGTAACACAGAGTATGTGGTCAAAGCCCTAACTTTTTGCTTTCAAGCTGAAATTAACTTTTATAATTCAACTCTTCCCACGGTTTAATGCTGTGGAGTATTCTAGGTGCAAAACCTGCTTTTCAACTATGAAACACAAGAGTAAATCATTAATTACGCTTATAATGCAATTCATTAATTCCTCCAGGGCTACTATATATTTGATTACCGCTAGTCACTGCTAAATCACTATGTTTATCGCCAGCCCTTCTTATCCACGCAACCCTCGCGCCTCAGGAACTGTGTGGTACAGATCTAGAAAAATTCCTTTTTTAATAGGCAAAAAGGTACCCACAGTTAAACCAGCACTGAAGGACAGGATCTTCCCAGGAAAATAAGAGGAGTTCATTTCTGCCGCTTGAAATAAATCCGCAGCATATGAAGTCAAAATAAATGCTTTCCAGGCACTGCATCTCAGAGACAGACCATGTACTCTTAAATTTTTCACTACTGGCTTAAAAATAGAACACACGTATGTAGGTTCAGTGAAACGAGTCACGTCCACACTAAGAGCACACATTTCCTTCTCAAGGTTTCATGGCACTGTTGGAGCAAACGTGGGGGAAAAGGGGGAATCCAACAGCCATCAGTAATATACAGCTGTCCTCTGAGCAGCAGTTCTACCACTGACTTAGTAAAACTTGTATTTTAGGTCCTATTTTAACATACATCATGGATATCCCTCGGCGAGCCGCATGAAAGACCCCGTCTCATTAACTGACCTTTCCAGGGTACAGGATTAACAAGGATGCCCGACTCTCACTGAGATAAAGCTGTACCTTTCCCCACTGTCAAAAGATGAGGGAAATTGCCTGCAACCAGCAGCGAACCGTGGGCGCTGCCAGCGGCCTGTCAACCCCCTCCCCGCCCTTTAGAAAACCGGGTTTTGGTGCTCAGGCCGAGCACAAGCCAGGACTGTAGTCAAGTTCACCCAGAACAACAATGGGGGAGCAAAACAATCCCCCATTCTCCCACGTTTTGGTTATTCAGAGCTTATGCATAATGCGCCGCCAACCAGGCAACCTCGGATTCCTTCCGCTCACTGCTGTCTCCTTAGCTCTGCCGCTTCTCACCAGAATGGGAACGCACACAGAAAAGTACATCTGTAGGTCTCCCGACGAATCCAGTGCTTTGCTGTGCTCAGGTCCTGATCCTTCAGCACTTTCATTTTTCAAAGAGTTTGATTTAGTTACTTCTGCTTAACCATACTAAGGTGCTTTACTCATTCAATATTAAAAGGATTTCAGGATTTTTTTTATATATATTGCTTAGTGTGCGCTGCTGGCATTTTTTTTAAACTGTTCAACTTTAAGAAAGAAAAAGCCTTTCTAATTGCTTATTAAAAAGAAAAAATTCCCAAGAGATCCCATAAAGTAGTTGCCACCAGATCCCACCAGCTCCAAACTCGAGTTCTCAGGAGCTTCCCACAGCAGCCCTGGGCACCCTGTAGGATGGGGCACAGATGAGGGAGCAGCAAGGTGCCCGTCCACTAACGGAAACCTGTATTAGTAGAGATACCTTGCCTGCAGCTCACTAAGCAAAGGGGCTCTAAGCCCCCGCGATGGATGCGGGAATGTTTTCATGTCATCACATCACCACAGGGCAAGCAATCTTCTCTTACAGCTGTCTGTTGGAGAAGTACGCAAGAAGAAACTCCACAGAATCACGGTCGAGCACTGGGGGCTTGAGTTTAAACACCAAAACATAATGATGTTTACACCCCGGAACAGGACAGCTGTCCCGTCACACCAAAAGGTTGGTCTTGTCCATCGATCCCCACTCCGTCTTCATCCAGAAATAGAACACAAATTGCCCTGACCATCTCCTAGCCGAGACAGCCCGTAGATAGAATAATTACAGTCAAGAATGCCAGGTCAGTCACCAGATCGCATTTCTCGTTGGTAGTTCAGCTTCAAATAAGCAGCTAAGCCCATGCCTCAACCAATCTCCTAATTCTGAAACCTCTTTTCTGCCCTTTTGGTTTCCACTTCTTCCATGACAGAACTATCCAAAGGGAGTATAGAGTTTCTCCAACAAAGAGTAATTCACGGGGTAAGCCAGGGAAGAAATCTGACCTCCTCACCACAATCAACAAAGGGGAGCCATTAGGACTCTCTGAAAGTTACTAATCACCCCCTTTACCCTTTTGATCAGATAGCGGTTCAAAACTTACCCCTCCTTCCAGAGGACTTGCTATCCACCCCAGTTCTCCCTGAACTGATCTGGAATCCAGCAAGGTAACTGTAGAAAAGTGCAAATAAAAACTGATTAAATTCCAGCTGCCAGAGGGCCGTATTAGAACAAATCGTTCGCCCGAGCGTTTCCATATGTGCGGAGCACGATCGCATCCACCCTCGACTCCCAGCGAAGTGCTGTTTCCCACTGCGCCGACACCTGA